GTGTCATTTCAGTCTACATTAGAATAAGATAAAAATAAAAGCTTTAAACATTATACATTCCCTTTCAATTACATATATGATGGTTTGTAAACCCTTAAGTTAATCCAAATCTCCATGATTTGCTTATTAAATTTACTCAAATTCAGTATGAACTCCAAATTATCAAACTTTCAATCAAACATAAGCTTTTAGTTCCCAGAATTATGATTATTATTGAGGGAGATGACAACTGGACCCATCATACTAAGGTACGTTGAAGTTGGTTTGGATTCATTGTCTATTGCAAAACTGTTTTTTCTGCTGAGGTCTGTCTGAGGGTACATTGAGACTATTTAATCACATTTATTTTTTGAGGATTAAATTGAGTTTAGTAATTTTCTCAAAGATATTGGCTCAAAAATTAGTTTTTTAATAAAATATTTTACAAGATAAATGTTATTTATGTCGTCTCATCTAGTTTACATGCCCCCATAATGAAGGGATTAATGGGTCTCACAAAAAAATTTTCAAAAATTATTTTAATCAAATATTTTTAAGGACTAATTTAAGTATTTACTTCAAATTTGCACTTAGTATTGATATACACACATGTTAATAAAATAATTAGTACCTTTATTAATTAGTATAATAAAAAATTAATTTTACTAGAATACTACCCTGTTAAAAGCATTTAAGTTGTTACAGTATGATAACTAATTTTAAAGTTATTTTAGTTGTTAGTTGAAAAAAAATATTTTTAATAAATAAATATTATTAAAAAAAATCATAAATATTTTGTTGATATACTAAAGTGACAAATAATTCAAGACAAATAAAAAGTATTCGAGTGACATCTAACATGAAATAATGAGTTGTGTTTTAATGTATAAATTGGGATGATATTAATTTAAACATGCATTTTAATATTTATTTAGTATGTTTTAGGAAAATGTTTGTTTCAAAATTTATATTTATATTTATAATTTCTAAAATGTTGAGTTCAGTGTATTGTATTTGTACATCTGTTTCAATTTTTTGTGACAAGCATTTTTATCTATAGAATATTCTTAGAAGTATATATTTTCAACATTATTCTCGCCAATTCATTTCAATAGAGAGATATGGGTATATTTAATTTTCATGAAAATGATTGAAGTCTTATGAAAATGGATAATGGCTTGTTATAGTAAGTAATAAGAGTGGGAAAAAAACTCTACTTTTATAAGTATTTTTTCATATTTGATATTCTCTGGGATATGTTTTTAAATAATACAAAATACCAAATGTAAATATAATATAATTTTTTTAAATATTATTTTTAGACATCTTGTTTCTAAGAATGTAAAATCATTCTCCAAAATAAACACACACTTAATAAAGTGAGAAAAGTGAGAAGATATATTATTGTTAAAAATAAATGTAAGTTGAGATTACTTTGTAGCATTAATTTGAGCACTAACAAATAACATATGTGATATTTTAATTCTCAATCACACATATTTTAAATCTTAACCTTGTTCCACGGAAGAGGAGTGATGATCATGAATTCAATCCAATTTGTCAACTTGATCAACTTAATTTGATCCAAACTAAAAATATACAGAGTTGATTCAATTATTTGTTAGATAGGATACAAATAATTATTTATTTAGTCTGATATCAACTTACGCATTAAAGTTCAAATCACATTTCTTTCTCACTTCTTCTTCTTCTTTTTTCTATTTTTTATTAATATATATGTACAATTAAATTACACTGGAAGTTATAATTATTTTTAAGGCATCAATATATAATTTTTATTGATTTAATTGTTAAATTATAATTATATATTATTATTTTAATTATTTATGTCAATATAAAAATGTAAAAATAGAGTTTTTATTATATATATATATATATATATATATAGAGAGAGAGAGAGAGAGAGAGAGAGAGAGAGAGAGTTTTTAAAGTTTATATCAAATTTTATCATAAATTTTATGTTAAAATGAAAATTTAGAAACATATATTATTTCACTTTAAATTAAAATAATTTTTATTAAATTAAAACAAAATAAAAATTAAATTTGTAAATTTTTCTAAATTCTTGTTGAATTCATAAGTTATTTTTTTATATCTTTGATCTTTTATGCATTTTTTTTTCAACATATTACTTTTATTTGAATGACTTAATTCAAACCCCTAAACAGTAAATGACTTAACATATTTGATAAATGTTGATTTTTCTTGTTAGATTAATATGTTTATTATGATTTAAAAAATATTTACAAAAACAAAAATATTTATAAAAATATTATAACGTAAAATTTTTCATAGTTAATACCTAAACAGTATTCTAAAATATGCTAAAAATACTGTTTATAAGATTATATAAATAAAATTATTACTATAATTTAATAATTATCAATAATACAAACAGAAATTAAAAAAAACATTTAACTTCATTAGATATATTTTTTTCCTTAGCAACTTCATTTGATACTAAATTATTATAATTTTTAATATTATTTGATAATAATAATTCATTTTAAATATTAATATTATATCAATTTAATTATTCTTTAATTTTTTAAATAACCTTATTTGTCTATAAGTTTGTAGTTAAAAGTATGTTATATAAAAAAATATTTTTAATAAATTATCCTATAAAATAGTATATGACTGTCTTATTAAAAACTGAAATAAAATAAAAAAAATTATATGTAATTAATTTGTGCATTAAGGTTAGTTCATGTAACTCTATAGACTTTTTATATAATGAATTTTTTAGTATTAACTTGGATGAGTTAGAACAAAATTAATTAGAATTCACCTTTGATAGGTTGAGTGAGCTTTCATATGCAGTTAAGGTAGTGTGTATATATTAATTATTGTTCTCTTTTAAGTGACTTTGATTTAAAATATATATTTTTTTTTCCAATTTACATACTTTTTTTAAAAATTGGAATGAAAAACAAGAAACATTCTCAGGAAAAAAAAAGTTTCCTTCTAACAACATTAACCAAGGAAATGGATACCTTAAAAATGCTTAAAATCTTGGACTTTAATAAAAGAAACACTATCATTCTAGATTTTATATTTGAAAGTGTAAGTCACTCAAATTTATTAAAATTCACATTTATATACTTTAAAAATTATGAAAAAAAATACATTAATAATATTTTTTAATACAATTTTTCAACTAAAACTTTTGAGTGTTGGTTAATATTTACCTATTTCAGTTAATAAAAATTACAGACCCATATGCGATAAGTGCAAATTAAATATTATTTTTTAAAAAAATTAAATGAATAGATTGGTCTATTAGCTTTTATTTTTATTTTGTTTTAATCTTCTAATTTTTTAATTTTATTCTAGCCTTTTAACTTTTATTTTTATTTTGAATAAATCATTTTATGTTAAAAAGTTAACTTATTCTTTGTTTTTTTTTATTATATATCATTAAGCTACCACCACCACAAACTATAATCTCTCATCATTATCACACAAACACAGTTAGCAAATCATCATTATATCAATATTGCAAGTCACCACAATTAACATCTCAAGTCATTACTTGACTTACTACCGGCACAATCTATATGTGGTGTAATAATCATGTGGTGAATTTTTCACCATTTCAAATGAACCATACTTTCAAAAATCAACTCCTACAAATTTTGCTTCCTTTTACAAATCTCATTGTGAGAGTCATCACATGTATCATTGCACTACATGCAAATTGTTGGTGACAATGTTCATTGATGTTGGTTAATTATTGGTTATAATGCTTATAAGTTTCAATGAACACAAATAGTGGTTGATGATAGTTAACACAATGACAGTGACGACTATGGTTGATAGTTTCGTAAATTTAAAACTGTGCTGAGTGATATTGTATGACAAAATAAAAAAAAAAAAGAAAAAAATAGAAGAAGAAGACACAAAATGGTAAAAATGAAACAATATTTAATATAACACAAACAAAGTTGACAGAGTTAACTTAATAAAAAAAATAACTTATTTAAAACAAAAATAAAATTTAAAGAATAAAAATAAAGAAAAAAAAATAAAAGATCAAAATAAAATAAAGATAAAAGTTAATAAATCAATTTATTAATTTAATTTTTTATTATATGTTCAAGAATATACAATAAAAATTTATATGCAGTAACATTTATTAAAAATTATATAATATCATGTTATTGAATACATTATTACGTGCAGTTAAACACAGATTTCATAAAAGGAACCGTTTAATTGTAAACAAATCTCATCATAATTTCTTTGGGAGTTGACCATAATGTCTTGGTGCGGAAACTTGGGTAATTATGTGCAATTAAAGGCCATGAAACCTCAATAAAGCCGAAAACAGCATCGTACTAACATGAAAAACACATTGATCAAAACAAGGAACATGATTAAAATCCTATGCACAATTAATGTTGGGCTATATAAGAAGTGTAGGGTAGACTTTTGTGGTATTAAAATAAAAACTTGGAAACCCAAGGATTGAATCTGCTTTGTACTAGAATCAATCTCCTAGAAGGTGTAAAGGAGCAGGGTTTTTGTTCCATTGGCAGAATATAAAAAGGGTAACTAAGTTGCATTATTGTATTCAGCATTCACAACACCGATTAACAAATAATTAAAGACACAGACTTTTTCTGTTGTGTTGCAAGAAAAGGTTAAAGACAGAGAGCAGAGCAATGCCATTGGCAGCAGAGAAAGAGACTTTCACTGAAACACTAAAGAATAAAGATTTTTGTGTTTTGTATTCTTTTGGTTGAATTCAATTCAATTGAAACTTTTCGGCAGTCACTGTCATTGTCCATTTGTACAGGTTTCGTTAACCTCTCTTAACTTCCAGGCTTTTTCATCTTCGGTTTCTCTTTCTTCTTCTCGGCATTGTTTGTTTCTTGGCCCATAGAGACCCTCAAAACGAGTTTCTGTTATCAAGTTTGGAACTTTTGGCTCTGTGGTTTGTGTGTTCACTGATCAGTGCTTGATTTCTCATCTGGGTATTTTGGTTCTGGCTTAAGATGATGGTGGGAAACGGTTTGGTGAATGATGATGTCGCCGGCGACCGTTTTCCAGTGGGTATGCGTGTTCTTGCCGTTGATGACGACCGAACTTGTCTCAAAGTGTTGGAGAACCTACTTCGCCAATGCAAGTATAATGGTTCGTCACCTTTCTGTTTTATTGCATGTTTCTTCTTGTTTTTCTCTTTTCATGTGATGGATGCCATCAACATATAATTCCTGTGACAATTTTCTTTGTTATTCAGTGTTTCTTTCTTTGCAAGACTACCATGTTCTTTATTATTCTCCTAAAATTGAAAATTTTCTTTTGAAATCTTGAAATTCTTAAAAAATGGTTTTCTTGCGTTACCACATTACTGTTAAGAACTATAAAACCCGCCATTTTGATTTAGTGTTTGTTGTTGAGTGAATTGATCTACTTTGACACTCTTTTGTCTTATACTGAGTAAATCTCACTCACATCTGATTTATGGTTGTTGCAGTTACTACAACCACTCAGTCAATTAAGGCGCTAGAAATATTGAGGAAAAACAGAAACAAGTTTGACCTTGTTATCAGTGATGTGAATATGCCAGACATGGATGGGTTTAAGCTCCTTGAGCTAGTGGGACTTGAAATGGACCTACCTGTTATCAGTAAGCTCAAGCACTATTTTTCTTTACATTATTCAACTGGAGTTTTACTTCAACCTATTCCAAGATAATTGGTAAACTCTTGCTCTTTTTAATTTATTGATTTAATTTGTGTGTGTGTGATCTAGTGTTGTCAGGATATGGTGATAAAGAGAGGGTGATGAAAGGTGTTATGCATGGTGCATGTGACTATCTAATGAAACCGGTTCGAATTGAAGAGTTACAGAACATATGGCAACATGTAGTGCGAAGGAAGATTGATTGCAAGGATAAGACTAAGTTTGTAAATGAGGAGAAAGCCTGCAATATGGCTAGAGAAGGTAGTCAAGCCATTGCATCAGAAAATAATGCTGACCAGAATAAAAAACTGAGTCTTAAAAGGAAGGAACACAGTGAGGTTGAGGTAGAGGTAGAGGAAGATGATGATCAAGAGAATGAGGAACCATTAAATCAGAAGAAGCCTCGTTTAGTTTGGGCCGCTGAGTTGCATAGCAAATTTGTTGCTGCTGTTAATCAGCTGGGAATTGATAGTAAGTTTCCAATTTTTCTTTCCTTGAAAACATGGAACTTAAATGTGTATATTTGACACCTTAATATGGATGTTATTGTTACTAACACGAGGTTTCTTCAACTGTTATTGCAGAGGCATTCCCCAAGAGAATACTTGACTTGATGAATGTTGAAGGGCTTACAAGGGAAAACGTAGCAAGCCATCTGCAGGTATAAATTCTAAATTTCTTACTTATGATTGGTCCATTTGGTTTCAATTTTGGCCGCAAAGCCAAGGTTGAAGGGGCTAAGTTGCATGTTAAAAATTGAATAACGGTAATTTATTACAAATGAGGTGCTTAATGAATCAAGAACCCACCCTATTTTAATTCTAGATCCTGTGTTGTGATATTACCTAGCACGTAAGCTTGCTTTCATTTTGTATTGCAGAAATACAGACTGAGTCTCAAAAAGCCAACTCAACAGGCTAACATGGTTGTTGCATTGGGTAGTAGTGATCCTTACCTGCAGATGGGTTCATTAGAAGGATATGTAGATTTTTGCACTTCATCTAGATCAGGAAGAATGCTAAGCACCACACTACCATCATACGCATCTGGTGGAATGTTTCACAGGCTAAACACCCCATCTGGCTTGAACATGAGAGGACTTACTTCTTCTGCACTCGTTCGGCCTGTTCGGTCTCAAAACATTAACAGCAGCTCCGTAGAAACACTTGGAAACATGCAACAGTCCATGTTTTCTGCAAAACAGACCTCAAATTTATTACAAGCCATTCCAACATCAATTGAGGTTAACCAATTTCAGCAAAACAACTGTACAACTGGTATTAGGAAGTCAAGTCCAATTGATGGTTCCAGTGGATTTACAACAGTTTCCTGTGGTTTCTCAGACAGTAGAACTAATGTTAGTAATGCAAATAATTCTCTACCTGGCCTCTCAAATAATCATTTACTATTGCAAGGAAATTCCCAATCAACACACAATTCAAAAGCCTTCAGAAACCACTCTTCTCTTGGAGCTGCTTCTGTGAACACACAATCTTTTGACCCTGGCATCTGTAGTTCCTCCAAGATGTTAGATTATAATCGGTGTAACAAAAACTGGCAAACTGAAACTCAAATATCCGACTTTTCTGTCAATGCTTCTACAGTCAGTGAGGTTTTCAATAATGATCAACTACCTCAAAATAACTTAAACTTTTCATCATCCACTTTTCATAGTGGGAACAGTCCAGTTGATTTTTCTTCCACTAGTGCTATTGATGTTCCTTTGGAGGATGCTAGAGGTAAGCTGCAATACCAAGAAGGCTTACTTGGGAATATCTTAATGGCTTCATGTTACACTCAGCATCAAAGCTGGGAAGCAGATAAGGTGGTTTCCAACAAAGACACTACTTCTACCATAAATTCTCTTGTTTCTCCTAATGGAGACACAATGTCCTTGGGGCATAGTTTAGGCCAAAATAATATTGTTTGCAGCAAGAGAATTGATGCACCTTTTGTTGGCCAACTGAATGGGGTTAATCCATCAATCACACAGTCCATTGAAGAGGAGAAACTCTATTCAATGAAGTCAAATGATGCCTCCGATTTGCAGCAAATGAAGTCCCAAGAAGGACTCATTCAGAATAGTTTTGGATCCTTGGATGACATAATGAGTGAAATTGTCAAACTGGTATGATCAAATATCCTTGTAATTCTTCAATTTTTAAGAGAAAAGCAAGTTGCTTTTTTATCTTGCTTTAATCCATGTTTGGACATGCGTTGAATTCATGGTATACGTGCGTTCAAGACTCTAAAAGCTATACTATTTGTAGCGTTAATGCACGCATGTCCATGGTTAGAAAACGCCAAACCAAACACATTTATGGTTTTCTGATCGCAAGAGCATCACCAAAACTGGTTTGCTGCTGTCACATAAATTGTCATTAGATGCTTAAAGCATATAACGGTTGTTTTATTTGCATCATTCATGTAAAGCTGTTTATGATGCAGGATCAAAATGCGATGATGTTGATTGATGCAGAAATGGAATTTGATGCTTACCCTGTTGGATCATGCTTTTGATTCCTTCAGATTCAACAAGAATCCAGGAGCATCAAAATCGTTTAAGCTACTCTCCTGTTGTGGAGTCGTTTCATCGTGTAATTTCGCATTGATGTAATTTCCTGTTTCACTAATGGACATAGTAGTGCTAACTAATCTAATTTGTTCCTTCTCTTTTTCATGCTTGTAAAGTAACTGCATCAAATTCCTCCACTTTTTAATGATACTTTAAGATAAAATAAACAATAATGAGTTAACTTCTTAGTCATTGGGTTCCCTTATGATTATTCAAGTAAGTGAAAGATTTAGATGAAAATTGCTTTACGATTAATTCTTACTATAAGAAGGTGGCAAGACTGAAATGTGGTACTACTCATTTATACTAATTTCAACAAAATTCTATTTTCATGAACTACTTTATGATCACAGTGAGTAACGAATCACTTGGTCACTTTTAGGATATCATGAAGGACTCGTTCCACTCAGTATCTCAAGCTACCTATTGTTTTGTGGTACATAAAGTACAAGTAATTAAAAATGTATGCAGTTATCTTATTTGGCTGTAAACTTAGAGCTGTTAATATTTTCATCATAAAGGAGTGATTAGGACAGAATGGGAACTGTGGCATCTACATTGGTTATTCCCTAATGGTACAGTAACCCAAATGTATAGCACCATTCTGTAACCATTCTGAGATTTACATATCTGCAAGCTTTCTATTTTAAAAGATTTTTATAAGAAATAATGATAATTTTTTTATATATATTTATATACGAAAAACATAAAAAGAAAATAGTGACAATTTTATAATTAAACGTGAAAACAGAAAATGAAACAAAACATGTTAATAAAAAACAAACCACCCGTAAACTTGAAGTTTTCACTTAGCCATCTAAAAATAATTCAACAAAATGCAGCATGCCACTTTTCAATGTTTTGATATTGTTTCACAAAGGCCTTTATAACTAATGGAAACAGTAAGCACATGAGTTTTTATATCTTATTTTAATATTGGAAGCACATGCGCCTTGATAGGGAAGGGTGAAACATAAGTTGGTAACAACACATTAACATCAAACCCAAGTTGGACTTGGATCCTCTCTGACTGGCTGCATCATCCAGAAGGAGAGAGAAAGAGACAAGAGTTTCACCCAGTTATCCCATGTCTCTTCCATTCACTCGCATCGGCAAGAAGAGCCTTACACAAGAAGGAACATAAATTCCTTAATAGACAGCAATTATATAGTCATGGCATTACAGGTAGATTTGATCAGCAAGAAATAAATCTTGAATTTTTAATAAATAAAGTGCGGTTCATATGGATTCCCCAAATTCTTAACACATGGAATTGGCTGTACCTGTATGTCCCTTAATCAGAATAGCTGAAGTCCTTTACATGAATTCTCTTTCATTTTCACAAAATTTGGATGAGATTCATGTTTAATAGCATGTATGATGAGGAATCGTGCCTTATAGTTAATGGTAAGAACTAGAAGTGAGTTTCACAAATTTAACCTGGCTTTTCATTTTTTGCTAACATTTTAAGTTGTGTTACACTTGGATTTTATTGGGATCACGATCATGGAAATACAGTGCTGATTTAGCTTTAATGGTTAAATCATGAGGCAGTGAATCATGCTCAGGTAAAGCTGGTGGCAGATATTTCATATGCACCAACTGTTGGATCTTTTTTCAACTTATTTGCCGTGGATTGCTATGATATAATCCTTGTTCCAATGTAATGAATATGACTATAAGCCATGTGAAGGGGCTTGGATTATCCTTGATCCGCATGTATTGTTGCTTAGACTGGCAGGTATGAAGCACAAATCCTTGAACAATGCAGGGTGTGTTCATGTAATTGTTATATTACAGGCGATACTTCAAAAAGTATCTGGACCTTCCAGAATGTGGGGGAACATGGTAAAATGGATTCACTTTCCTATATGTTTAATCCAGTTTTCACAATTTTTACTCCATATAAATCCTCAAGACCAACTTCTCCAAATGCATCCACAACTTAAACATGCTTAAAATGTACATCGATGCCCAGAATGATTTCTAACAAGCCTCACAGAGCAAAATTATATGGCAGGTAATACAAATCGCAGCACTCCAATGATCAACGAAAAAAATACGGTTTTTCGTATGTATGCAACACAATAGAAATCAACAATTAACAAAATTTATTAGAAATTGAAGCATTTGATCGTGCATTGAATCATGTCATGTGATTTCTAATAAAGCCTTATTGTATATGGGATCTCGCTGTGTGCCCTTTGCTACATTAGAAAAACCGTAAATAATAACCAATGCATCCCTATTCCCTGCCTAACAGAAAGATTTTCCATCATTTTGCGTTTTCTCTGCATTCCTTAATTTTCCTTTTTCTTCACTCAGTGTCCGAGACAAGCAATCAAAGCACATAATCTACAATTACATAAACAGGAGAACAAAAACTCAAATTAAAATTAAAAAAAAACACAGACATATTAAATCAAAATCAAAGCAACATTAACACTTACAATAACAATCAGCTATTGAGCAACACCTTGCTCCTCAAGATTCTTAATGTGTGCCTTAAGAACCATAACAAGTTCTCTAGCAGGAGCTTGAAGAGTGCTTACAAGAGCAGAAGCAGGGGTTTTCAAAGACCCCAACAAGGTAGCATAAATCTCAGCACGTGTGGGCAAGGTTTCGAGTTTCTTGAACTCATCAGGACCATAAAACTTACCCTCAAAAACCGCACCAGTGAAATCATTGTCTTCGAGTTTCTTCTCCTTCTGGAAGTCTCTATAGGGTTTAATAGCCGCAGGTATCTCCTCGGAGTGAACGAAAAGCCACACATTCATTCCCTTCATGCAAGGCTTCAGTGTTTCCCATTCCGTTCCCTCCAAAGCCTTGAAAACCAGCGTGTTCTTCGCCACTATAAGCTTCGTCGTGTCAGGTAGAGTCTTCCGAAGCTCCTGAAACTGCTTCACAGTGAACCCTTTGTAGTTTATGCCAGCTAGTAGGTAGCAATTCTCCAATTGCTTTCTCACACTGTCCACTGTTTCTTCCTTCTTCGTGCGTGAAATTGCGGCGTGGATTGAAGGGAAGTGGCCGGTTTTGAAGGTGGGTATTGGTTTTCGCGAGGAGGGAACGTTGAATGGGTTAATGGGTCTGTTTAGGAGTTGAAAAGTTTGGGTTTTGGTGGATGGAAGAGTGAAGCTGGTTAGAGCGGCTGTCGCTTCCATGGTGATGGGAATTGAGAAGAAGTTGGCACTGTGTGTTGAAGTTGCCTTATCTTATCGTTTCCATCATTGGGTGAGGGTGGAGTGGTGCCCGAGTTTCAATTTTCGGGTATCCGTACCCGAGTTTCTTTACCAATCACGTTTGAACACTTGGCTTGTTTCAAACAAGTGATGTTGTGTAACCACTTTTCTAAAATTGTAAGGGTCTTACAATTTTTTTTATCTTCATCGTTTAGCATAATTTTCAATGTGATATATGTTAGTGACCCCTTACAAAATGTTAAATTGTCAAGTTAAGCGAGAAATAGGCATTAAAATATGTCATATTTTATTAAGAAGGGAGTGATATAATTGTTGGACTAAAGTGTAATATTAATGTCCTTTTTCTCATTTTCATTCTTACATAGTTACATTCTCAGGAACCATCAAACTAGAAAATATTATTCTTACCATCTATAATGCAACAGCTGCAGCTGAAGAGATTGTCCCTAGCCAAGGCATTTAAAGGACATAATTAGACCCCAAGAAAAAAAAAACAATAGTTGCACATTACTTCTCCACCATGGATGCAATTTTCACTTCAGAAGTGTCTTTATACTTACAATGGTTACCCAACTACAAGAAAAAGTTTTAAATGTGTCTCCCTCACTTGATTCAATACATAATCACACATTTTACCCTATACATAGAAAATCCGAAGAAAAGTGTGCCCAAATTTGCTTCAGCATTTGAAATCCTAACGATTGCTTTAATTCCACGATATCAAATCTTACCATATTTTCTTTTATATGGTAGCTTTGATGACCTTGAAGAAGAGTTTACATTAGGTCTTCTATCATTGCTTCTTGCCATGGACGCATGCATCCCTAACAAAGAAAGAAAGAAAGTCAGCAACCTCAACTATAAGATTTCCACAACCAACAACTTGTAAATGAGAATGTAAGGATGAAAATGGAGAAAGAAACATCACTTTAGTCCAACAATCATATAACTCTCTTCTTAATGAAATACAACATCATTTTGATGTTTAGAAAAATCAATATTCCATAAGCTATATCCTATTAGAAACTAAATTAAATGATGAAGATAATACGGAGAATTAACATGAGGATTAAAAATGTTAAAGACAACTATACAATACTAACAATTTTAAAGATATAATCTTCATTATAATTAACTAACTTGTATTCACATCATGATTCTTAAAATTTGTATACTTACTACACCAAAAATATAAAATAAAAGTTCATGAAATTATTAATTAAATTTTATTTCTTTTATATGCTTAGTTAGTATAGAGTTAAGGAATTAAATAAAATATCTAAATGAAAGAAAAGGAAGAAAAAAATCTGAGTTAAGTATATTTAGCAAAAACAGTACTTTAATATTTTTTATTTTGACACTTTAACTTTAAAATATATATGTTAACTAAATCATTTAAATAAGATGAAGAGAAAAATAACAATGATGATGACAATAATTAAGAAAAAAATTTAAAATAATAATTATTAGAATTAAATAAACTTAACAAAAGATTACTTACTTCATTGACATTTACAAATTAGATCACTAAAATAAAATAAAAAATTAAAGGATCAAAGTTAAAAAATAAAATTAAAAGATTAAAGTATTAAGAGACTGTTCGATTTTGAATAATATTTTTATTTATTTTTAATTATAAAATTATCAATTTTTTATTATATTTTCTGTTCTTAATTATTTGTATAAGAAACTATTTTTTATTTTTTTATTTCCTATACAAATATGTAAATATAAGAATAAAATGACAATTTTGTAATTTAAAGTAAAAATAAAAGATAAAAATGATACAAAATTTATAAATCAAATTAACTCTGAATATCTTAGTATATTTTAATTTCAAACAACTAAAGTACAAAATTAACAGAACAAATATATACTTAAAAAATAAATATTTAAAATTATTATGAAAAAAGTGGATATAAACACTATCTAATTTAGAGAGAGAAAAAATTAGAAATATCTTTTGTGGTGTATTCTTTCAATTTCTTTACTCTCTCTAAATTAAACAAGGTAAAAATTAATTCTCAAATTTTAAATAAAATATGAAAATAGATTATAAATTTATATACAGGTTTTATGAATTGTAATAGAAATTATGTTTATAAAATTATTATAATTGGTGAGAAGATGCAATTAAGAATTATTTTATAAATATAGGCTTACGTCAAATGTTTAACTTTAAATTTTTACTTTTTAGATGTGCTTATTAGAAACATATAAAGAATTATTTCTTATTATTTAATTTTTAAAAATGACATAATTTTGATAGAAAATTTGATTGTAGACGTTTACTTTAAACTTAAGCTTTTGAGACAAGCATTAGAATCAATTTTTTTTTTAAGTAAAAAAGAAAGAGTATATACACTATAATTTTAGGTAAAAATGAAATGAAAAGAAGTTGAAGATTAAAATTGAAATGACATAAGTAATAAGTTTCTAAATTTAACTATTTTGAATTTATTTTATAGAATGATGGATAAATTAATTATATTATACACATACTACAAGTTAAGTGATTAAATAAAAAAAAATATTAAAATTTATTTGTGAGTACAAAGCATTTATTAATATAAAAAAAAAATTGAACTACAATACAATAACTATTTTAAATAGTAGTAAATGTTAGATTTTAAAATACCTACATAAGAAAAATAAATCTAAGTATATTAAAAATAGATAATTAATCTTATTAAAAAAATACGATGAGGTATATTTGCTTATAAGAGAAATTAAGACAATACCTACTTAGAAGATAAAACATGATGCTTTAGATATATGGCAAGACTATCAATTAAGGTGTCTATGAATAAAATTGATTGATTGTAGAGCCTTTAGTCTTTAAAAAAAAAAAAAGTATAAAGAAAAATGAAAAGATTTATAAAAAGAATCTATTAATAAATAATCTTTAAAATTTTGATTTTGACAAACTCCAAGTATACCTAACCTCATTTAGTAAACTAATTTTATTATTATTATACACGTAAACTCTTTAAAACACTTTTAAATTTGTATTTCTTTGCAAGCTCCTTTTTAATAACAATATTTTGACTTAAAAAAAAAATATTATTCTTCACAATTTTTAAGAGTTAAATACTAACTCTAATAACACGACACTTATTTCTCATAAGAATTAATAATTTGAAAATTTTAATAATTTTTTTAATTAATTAATTTTAAAGATAAATTACTATCTCAAATTTAGATTAATAATATATATCTATATTCTATATATATAGAATAGAAAGAATAATTAAAAAATTTAAAAGAAAATAATTTGTTTATTAAATAAACGAATTATTCACAATTAATATAATAATTTTAATATAAGATAGTTAAATATTATTTATGAAAAATAGAATAAATAATATTAATAAATACTAAAATTAAATAAAAATAAAAAAATTTAAAAAAGAAAGATTTAAAATCCAAGATCTAAAAATATATCTTTCTATGACACCAGTAATAAGTACTTATGGTTCGGATATTAAAAAATACATATATTTTGTAATGGTAAATTCTATTGTACTCTAGAAAATAAGAGAGTATTCTATGCTATACTTTTGTATACATAAAACAATTATAACAGTTAATTTTAATGATAAAGTTAGTAATATATTTAAAAAATATATAAATATTTTTTAATATTTTAGTATAATTTAGAGAAAACATTAAATACATCTTCAAGCTTAAGAAAACCGCAACAAACACCTTTTATAATTAATTGATCAAAATATAAGGCATTATTGTAATGGAGGGTAAGGAGAATTTTGAGTTTAAATAATTTAAAAAAAATAAAAAATGATTAAAAGACTAAAATGTTTTACCTGTATAATTTTAAAAAATATTTAATGGCATTTCAAAATAAATTAAGTAAATTTGTAAAATGAATGTTTAATTAAAAAGAAACGTGTGTAACCATATCATGAATTCATCTCAGTGATTTAAATTTCTCTATCTATAAAAAATGGACACAAAAAATAATACTATATTTGAACTAATTTTTTAAAATCCACCCAAAATTTCAAGTGCTGGCTTCTTGACACTGTCATGAATATGGATAATATTTTTAATAATTGTTATTACAAATATTGCGAAAAATGGTAATCTTTTTCCCTAAAGTCACTTGTGACTTCATTTTCAAGCAATTTGATTGAAACTGACACAATGGTCCATTCTTTATTTCTTGCACTCTAAGCATTGTCTCTTTGCTTTCAAGTTTGTGATTCGAGTACAAATAATTTCGCATTTTCCAATCAGCCCATTTTTCTTTTTTGCAAAAGGGAAACAGAGGGGAATGAAAATTTAACATTATGGATTAAATAAAAAAACAAACTATATAAAACAAAATAATTATATATATATATATATATTTAAAATTAAAATATTTATAAATTTAATTTCAGTATAGGTTATATTTTAAATATTAAAATTTAAAATTCGTTATGAATTTTAAATATTTGATTTTTTTAACACCCTCTTATGTATTAAAAAATTATTAGTTAATATTGTCAAAGATACATATTAATTATTTGTAATGACATTTATTGTTATATCCGTCATTTATTTTCATTTGATTATTTCCTTTTAAGAAATAATAGTATCAAAATAAAATGGAAAGCTAATATTAATATTAAACAGGTGACTAAGTACTCACCAAAAAAAAGTTAATATTAATATTAAAGATTGATTTGTACAAATAAAAATAGGTGAAAATTAAAATGTAAAGAATTCCCTAATTTTGTATATGCTATATATGTATAATTTTATAATAATTTCATCTTTAATTGTTCAATCATTACTGTATTTTTAAGGAAAAGAAATTGAAGAGCTTGGATCTCTGTAAGTAATTATTTTGGCAAAAAATGGCCATACTTTGGATTTGGTAAATAAGTAACTAATTACGGTAATTTTATCAGACTAGAAACAATGTTTTTTTACTGTGTAAAAAAAACAGTAAATATTTTCTTTTTAATTTTTATTAAAAGTAATTATGTTCGAGCCGATAAATTTGACAGAATTTTTTTAATTGAATTATGTTAAATAAATTTGTCTAATTAATTAAAGTTCACAAAAAATTATAATTATAATTTAATAATTATGATTTATATATTTATATTTTATAAAAAATTATTTAACAAATAAAAGTGAAATAAATGTTCTGGTGTGTTCTTATCACTCCACTTGGATGAGTAGCGTGAATGAATGACATTCATTGTACACGTGTAAGGCCTACGTTTGTCCACGACAACCTTAACGCGCTCACAAAGTCCCAATCCATCGCTAAAACGAGCACAAACATAAACCCTTGTAATTGTAGTTGCAGAGCCGAACTCAGAGACACACTAGAAAAAAGCGAACCCCTTTTGTGTTGTGTGAAGCGTAAGGCATTAGCAGCGACAATGGCAAACAAAGAGATGAATGTTGTGAAAGGTTTGGACTTGAAAAGGTACATGGGTCGTTGGTACGAGATAGCGTGTTTCCCTTCAAGGTTTCAACCCAGTGATGGCATGGACACGAGAGCTACCTACACTCTCAACGATGATGGCACAGTCCATGTTCTGAATGAGACTTGGAGTGGTGGCAAAAGAAGCTTCATTGAAGGAACTGCTTATAAGGCTGATCCCAATAGTGATGAGGCCAAACTCAAGGTCAGGTTCTATGTTCCCCCGTTCTTACCCATTATCCCTGTAACTGGGGATTACTGGGTTTTGTTCATTGATCATGATTATCAATATGCTGTCATTGGACAACCTAGCAGGAGGTACCTTTGGGTAAGCATTGCAATCCCTTTTAATTTTCATGTTAAATTATTCTCTGTTTCAATTATCATCATTGGTTATGAATGTTGTCTGATTGTGTTTGCGGGGTTGGAGGAAGAAAGGCGAAGCTATCAAGTCTTTGCATATCAAAATTCCTCACTGTTTTATCGGTTAATTAGGTTGATTTTTCACTTGCTTGGATTTTTGTGTATAATTTTGGGGCGCTTTGATTAAAAAATGTATCGGAATATAGATTTACATTGGGTAAGTCTAAAAAGGTGAACTTGATGGTGTTTTGTAGGTTAGGTGTAAAATGCATTTGTTTGTTTTGTGAGTAGCTTCTTTATGAATTGTTTATATTTCTTACCATGAATTGGGATCTTCTAGATATTATCCAGGAAGAACCATGTAGATGAAGAGACCTACAATGAGCTTGTTCAGAAAGCTAAGGATGAGGGGTATGATGTGAGCAAGCTTCACAAGACTCCACATAGTGATTCTCCACCAGATGAAGAAGGTCCTCAGGACACTAAAGGCATTTGGTGGATCAAATCCCTTCTGGGGAAATAGGTGTGGACAATATATAATTAGGCTAAATGTGAAGGGGTATTTCATATTGTTAATAAAGGTCAGGATCGGAGCAATTTAGTTTGGTGTATTGGCTTGTTCTGTAAATAGACTAAGATGAAATGATATGAACTTTTTTAAAGGTGATGTTTGAAGGGTTAATTGTGTTTGTTCTTATTGTTTTGTTGAGAATCCAATGTCAGTTTTCCACTTTGTTTACTTTATCTTTTTCTTAGTTGAATTTTCTGGCCAAGCTATGGGGTTTTCATGAATTACCCTTTATCTTGACACAACTTTTGTTGTTACAACATTAAGGGTATGGGCATTCCATTTCTGTCATTGGGGAATGTATTAAGGTTGCAAAAAATATTCTAGCAAAGAAAAAAGAGGAAATTGTGTGGATATCATAAATGATGAATAGTCGATTAACAAAAACTTACAGCAGTGGATGAAATGGAAGAGAATCTTGAGTCTGTAGCCAAAAAATAACTGTGATTCAAGTTTGGGAGGAAATAAAACGGCACAATTATAAGACTTGTGATGGAGTTTGGGAGTAAAGTTAGTGATAAATAAATAAATATAATGTTGTAGAAAGGAGAACATTGCGTTGGATGTGTGGATATGTCAAAAAAGATATAATTAAGAATGAATGTCTTGAAGACCAAGTTGGGCTATTATTTATTGAATAAAAATTATAGAATGTTGTCTGTGGTTATTTGGACATATCTAGTCAAGGCAAGTAGAAGTAAAGTAGAGTAGAATAGATAAAGGGTAACTTATCATTTGAAGAAGAGGGAAATCGAGTGAAGCATGATGGAAATCTAAGGGGCTATGTGATTTTCAGAAACTTTTAATTATAAAATTGTTACATTATTATATACTATTTTAAAAAAATTTAAAAATAAGAAATAGAGTAAGAATAAAGTGACAACATTGTGGTTAAAATTGAAATCACATAATGATGAAATAAAAATATTTATATATGACACGACACATGCTTGAGTAATAACAACAGTCACAGTCCAAAGGTTTGAATACTGAAAACATGAAGAAAGAGCAACACATTGCATGCATTTATAGATTGGAAAAGTCATCAGATTATTGAGTGAAAAAATAAATGAAGGAATTCATTGAGAAACATTATTTTAATAAGTTGTACTTAAAAAATGGCTTATGAGAGTCGTAATCTATTTTCAAGTGGAACATGCAGCTAGAAAGAGAATATGAAATCCTCGAAAACATAATTTAGCAAAATATGTCAGGTTATAATCAAAAGAAAGGATAAAATGCAGCAATGCATTGAAATCTCTACGCCACACCATTAGCGTAGCACCAAAGTTGAGAAGAAGAGACACAGCCCAAAAAAAATGCACCAAAGAATTATATATATATATATATATATATATATATATATAAAATACTTTATTATTTCATGGTTGGAGAACAAAGACACAGGTCACTAACGACCATAAAAAGATATACATTTTTAGTGAATAGTGTCACTACTTATATAATATTTGTGACTACTTTAGTGACGAGTGTAAAAGTAGTGCATCCGATCTCTTCCTCTTTATATTTATTTGCACCTTTCAATTATGTTAAAGAAAATTAATTTTGTGTCAAAAACTAGCATATCTTTCAATTTTTTTTAAAAAAAACATTTAAGATTTTGATTCAAATTTAGGATAAAGTTTTTATTGATTTTAAAATATCTTAATTTATTAATTTTAAACTTTATTTTATTTCATGTATGTATTTTTTTAATAAAATTTAAATTGGTTGCATTTTAACACTATTAACTAATTAGAATATAACATTGATATGATTTTTATGTTAATTATTATACAAATCAATATTTTTTTATTGATAAGACAATTCATGGTTAAATTAGTATGTAATATATATCCTTTAAAATTTCAATATTTTATTTACACACCTCGAAATGTTATATAGCATAAAAAAAACTCAAATATTATATGTGAAAGAGTAAAAGGTATAACATTATAAATAAATGAAATTATTAATTAATAAATATTTTATGAACAAATTTAATCTCTATTTAAGATTAAAATATATAATAAAATAAATTTTATAATTTATCAAATTTAATATAGTTTTAATTGATATTTATTTTATAGTTTTTTTTAAGTAAAGAAACATGAACTTGAAATAACTAAAAAGTTTATTAAGGAAAATTAAGTGAAGAAATTAAATTGAAAATATTTTTAAATATTAGAAGAAAAATATGTAACAACTCTAGTTGAAATTTTTTATATTATTTATAGATTATTACATTTGTACATGAAATATTATATAAAAGATAATCAAGTATTAGAACAAAAATTACAAGAAGTGCCATTGAATCTCTTGGTCTCAAGGCAATAAGTTTAAGGTTCAATTCCCAATGTTTAATTGTTGACATATTAAACATATAACTCATAGTTACATAAGATAAAAGGCTTGAAAATTGTTAGCAGTGAAATATAATAAATAAATAAAATTAATTTTTCACTAGTTTAACAGTGACTTGACTTAAAATAACGATTGATGATAATTTAAAATATTGTTATAAAACTATTGTAATATTTAATATATTTAAAATAAATACAATTTCTTACTTCACCGAAATGCTCATGCGAATGATTTAAAAAGTCATCCTAAATGTGCAATCGAATTTGAAGATGGACAATTGACATTGGTCTAATTGACTCTGGAAAGAGCGATTAATGTGCGAAACCTAAATTTTTTACGGATTACTTTTATGGAAAAGTATTTAAAGAAATAATATAACAATGCCTTACATTTTAGAAATCAAATTTGAGGTTTTATTCTAAAATTATAAGCAGCAAAATCCTATTCCCTACGTTGATGCTCATGAACATTTCTTCGATGAGTCTAAAATAATCTTTAGGATTAGTCTGATCATGATATATTTTTCATAAAAAGCATAGATAAAAAAATAACAGATATAAGTTAACATAAAAACACGTTCTTTCATAATTCTATAATTTTAAGTGTCATAAACCACCAATGCTCTCGAAATGAATTCATTGCATGGCCCTTAAGTGTCAGAACTATATATGCCGTAATATCTTATCTGTATCCCACGATTAAAAAATAAACAACAAATCACAAAATGTTGGTGTTAGGTAACAATTAAAACAAGGGTAACCAAAATCAGCAAATAATGGAAATTGGATTCCAAAAAAGACGATGTTGTTGGTTGTCCTTTGTAAGGAAATCCTGACCAGCTATTTATGTGGGGATGTGTGTGGAAATAAATAGAAAAAAAAATCTTAATTGTGAGTCAATCTTATTCACCAATTCACCTCCTTTTTTTCCCATCACATTCCCTTGAGGGTTTTGCCCAAAAATCTGCCATAGGGAATGCCTGTTTCATCCATCAAGATATGAGCATCAGTTTTTGGGTATGCACGATATGATCGATTACTTCTTTGTTTCAAGTTTCCCTTTTGATGATGTTTTGGTTTTGGCATCAATCAAGTTGAAACTACATTATCATCAACTTTTTTTCTTTTCCTTTTAATTTCTAGACGCTGTTCTTTTGAATGATGGTCAGATAATTTGTAAAAGAGGTTAAAAAATGAGAATAAAGTTGAATTGTTCAATTTGCTATGCACCATCCTAACATAAAAGAAATTAAGAACAAGGGTCTTTGAAACCATTATATCATCACAGGAAAAAAAAAACACGTAGGAATTTTAATGCAGAATGAACGTTAGAATTAAAGGCTTGATGATGATACCTAGAAGTTCATTTTGTAACTAATAAGACCTCATGTTTTCAAATATGAGTTACTGTTCTTTGTAATTCGAAATGCGTGTTTTGATTGACATGAAGTTTGAATTGTGACAGGAAAAGAACAAAATGTTCAGAACCTTGTTTCTGATTTCCTTGCTATTTCACGCAACAAAAGCCCAAAATCCTGCGCTTCCAAATCGACCCACGGGTCCTGTCCCTGTGAAGAAATGGTCAACATTAAGTGGTTGGTATCCAAAACACTTCTTTTATTTTTCTGATATGCAGAAAATTATTGGGTAGTTTAAGATCATAAGACCACTCATATTACATAGTCAGTCAGAAATTTATAACACTTTTATTTGGATTTTGACAATGTTGTGATTCTTAATTTAACGTGCAGGCGATGAGCCTCTTCTAATAGCCCGTGGTGGTTTTTCGGGACTCTTCCCAGAAGGAAGTACTAACGCAATTGATCTATCACAAGACAGCATTTTCTTGTGCAATCTTCAACTGACAAGAGATAACGGAGCCTTTTGTGTCACTGGCCCTACGCTTGACAATGCAACAAACATAGAAATGTTGGATCCTAAGGTAAAAACCTACAATGTCGATGGGAGGGATGTGCAAGGACACTTTGCTGTGGATTACACTTACGATCAGATTGCCCAAAATGTAACAAGTGAGTATCACTCTTCATGCATTTGTAATGAATCACCCAAAATTAAAAAAACAAATACAAGAAAATTTATTTATTTATTATATTTAATTGCTGACATCTTTTATGTCTCTTGCCTTTTATTTAATTAAGATGTTATATGTTTAATGAGTCATTTATTTATCTAAATGCTAATACTTTCTCAGTTACTTACTTTGTGTAATCAATTTGCTACTTGCATGACTTTAGAATTAAACCTTAGACTTATTAACTTGAGAATAAGAGACTAACCATTTGTTACGTGTTTTTCTAAATTTTTTTTAAAATCCTTTTAATTTAATTTCTTCACTTAATTTTTCTTTATCAACTTTTCAATTATTTCATGTTTTTATAATGATGACTTATAATTTAATCATTATTATAAAATAATATTAATGATGAAATAAAACTTAGCCGCAAGTATTATATATGTATTTAGTGACAAATTTTACACTTGCTACTAAATTTTAGTAACTAAAAATTATAGTCTCAATGCTTACAAATACCCAACATAAACGGAAATATGGCCCAGTTTGAGCTTATTTGGTAACTGAAGGTTTGCTCTTCGCTTTGTATTCTGCAGTGAATCAGGCCATATTTTCTCGACCCAGTTTTTATGATGGCACTTCACCAGTTCCTGATGTTGATACTCTACTGAGCGGTAAAGAGGCACCAAGGTTTTGGTTGAATGTTCAGGTTCTCTCTCTCTCTCTCTCTCTCTCTCTCTCTCACACACACACACACACACTGCAGGATCTCCCGATAAAATTGGAAATTCTCAAGCCTCATGGAACATTCCTTGTTTTCTTTCTTTTACTGTGTTATTACATATTGAGCGTTTCTTGCAGTATGCAGCATTCTACATCCAGCAAAGAGTACAGCTGGAAAATACTGTTCTAGACTTATTACGAAGCTATCAGATAGAGTTTGTTTCATCTTCAGATATCGGTTTCTTAAGGAGCATCAATGGGAAAACAAACAAGGGAACTAAGGTAATCTTTCAGCTTCTTAATGCTAATGATGTTGAACCTTCAACCAAGCAGCCATACGGCACTATTGTGAAGGATCTTGCCACAATC